GGGAAAGGAGAATATTTATAAAAAAAAAAAAAAAAAAAAAAAAAAGAGAGAGAGAAAGAGAAAAGAATCTTGCAATTTTGCAGAAACAAAAACTCTAAAAGTTTAACATTTATGGGGGAAAAAAGAAAAATTTTGAAATCTCTCAAATTCTCTAGAAAAAAATTTGAGAAATTTCTGAATTTTTGAATATGTTCAACTCTTGAAACTGAGAAAATGTCCTAAATTGTTTTATTTTTATATCTACCATGACCCTGATACACAGTTATAGGTGGATGAAAATATCTGCTTTCAACTGCAAATAACATTTTCCGAATTTAAGCTTTTAATTAAACATTGGATGGCATTCTATTACAAAACTGAGCAGATTCAACATCAATAACTTACTCAAGAACTTTCCAAATCTCCAAAACACCTTGTTGAAATTCAAGCATTTTCAAGGATTTCAAGCACCTGCATGTCTTATGTAGAGAAATGGTGAAAATATAGATTCATGCTGGCGTTCTTGTCCTTGGTATAAAACATGGGTTAGCAATTATTATTTTCCACAACAGACTTGTAACATACAGCTAGAGATAATATTGAATGTCATACATGTTAAAATTATAATTCATAGACTGGCCTAGACAAAGTCCAAACTTAAATCCAATTCAGAATCTGAGGTAGGACTTAAAAACTTATTTTCACAAACTTCATATCAGCCTGAGCTGGAGTTTTTATTTTGTTTATTTTTAGCAAAAAAGAATAGGGAAAACTTTCAATGTGCAAACTGTTTTTGTTTTAAATGCATGCCACACTTTTAAGATTTTTTTAAATGAAGTATTTTCTTATGTGAATACTTTTGTAAATGTGCAGTTGGAATAATCAAGATGAAAGTGGTTGTTCTTAAATAATGCATTACTAAAATTATAAATCAGCTCAAAATTAAAATACGAGTTTATATTAGTAATGCTTGGTTATTTTTAAATAAAACATCAAAATATTCCAATACAAAACATGCCTAAAATAACCTTAAAAGTACACATGCAAACCCATTGTAGCATCATATTATTTTAGTTGCTCTAGAGAAGGACAAGTGTCCATAACTGAGGTTTTAATTCCCATAATAGGAGCATTTTTTTTTAATTATTATTTTATTTTAAAATTTTAGTTGCCAGCAAGTAAACCTTCCAGTGTTTTTCCATCATGTAAAGAGCCTTGGTGTCATCTTTGGCCAGGACACGTCCTTTAAATCCAACATTAAAACAGGTTTCTAGGACATCTTTCTTGCACCTGCGCACTAAAGCCAAAATTAGAACCGTGATTCCCCCCAGAGTCCAGCAGGGAAACTAGTCCACGCATTTATTACTTCTAGGCTGGACTACTGAGTTTCTTTACGACCAAAGGAAACAGTAAAAAATCCCTCAAATGTTTCAAAATCGCTGATGTGAAAATTTAAAAGAAGAACACTTTAAAAACTTTAAACTGAAATCATATTTCTTTATTTTTTTCCCTCTTTGTTGGCACCCAGTTTAATCAAGACTAAAATTAAAATGATTATTCTTACATATAAAACTCTTAATAATCCAGGTCCATCATCGATTAGAGGTCTGATTGGTCCTCATCGCTGGTGTGTCCAATTTTCTTTGCTTTCTTGAGAAAATCAACTTTTCTGATAAGTTTCAATGATGAATACAAATTGAAAATTCCTACCCAACCCCAACCCTCCTTCCAATCCTAATTCTAACGGTGCGTTCACACCTGATGTGTTTTGAGAGTCAGGTGAGTCTGCTTTACATTCAAAGTCTATGTGGAGGCGTGTTGAGGACACGTTGTGGTGCGTTTTTAACCGTTTGATGCATCGAGCGAATCCACCGCTCCACATACATTTGGGTGTAATGTATTAGAATGCATTATTATGCAATTTCCATTATATTACTTGAATATGGTCTCAAAACAACAATAACTTCTGAGATAATTTATTGTTCAACAAAATTTTTATCATGCCTAGAAATAGTTCTAGAAAACATAAGAATTTCTAATTATCAACAAAAACAATACATTCCTGATAAAAAAAAAGTTTATTCTTGGAGAAGAAGAGCTTCAGTTTCATCCAATCTGTTGAAATCTTACCGTTTCTGTGAGTCTTCATGTGACCTTTGAGGCTGCTCTTCTGGTTGAAGCACCTCCCGCAGATATGGCAGCCGTACGGTTTCTCCCCAGTATGAATCCGCAGGTGTCTCTCCAGGTGTCCGGCTCGCTCAAACACCTTCCCGCAGTAGGTGCAGACAAAGCATTTCTTTGGTTTCAGAACTCGAAACGGACGGTTTTTCCTCTCTCTGAGGTGGTTTGAGGCCTCCGTCGCGTCTTGCAAGCCGGGGTTACTGGAGATGATGACCGACCCCGAGCACCCGTAAGGCGTCTGAGGGACGGTGGAGGTTTTCAGCTGCCCGTACATTTTTCCTCGGACGGAAAAGTTGCTGTAAGTAGTTTCCTCTGGTGGCTGGAGTAACTGAGTAATGGCCGGGAAGGAAGACATGTTCTGCGGCGAGCTGTTTAGAAACTCTGTCGGATTGTTCTGTAACCTGGATGCCCACAGCTGGCTGCCTTGATCCACTGGTGTTACGTTTTCACCCATGCTGTCAGCCTGATTGTTTTCCACATGAAGCTGCGGTTCCGTAATATTTTCCTCGACCGGCTCAGATTTTACCTGAACGGATGTTGGCAGAACTTCTTCAGACTTTGTTTGGTTATCGTCGGCCTTCACCTGGCTGACCTCTTCAGGCCGATGCTGGTCCATACATGGATTCACCTGTGGGATTTGGATTTGTTGGCTCATCTGGACCTCTCCTGGTCTCGTCTGAAGACCTGAAGCATAAAACAAAAAACCACTTACTAACACTTACAAAGTTAATAAAATGACTCTACCTAAAAATGAATCCTTTTGACAAAAAAAAAATTACGAGGATGTAATGAAATATGTTGACGCCGTTTGTCAATTAATTGAATTTTGCGAAGTTTCATCATGACATTTTCTCAATCCAGTCTAGATCAGTTCATTTATATCAACTGATTAATTTTTTTGTGTGCCTTATGTTGTTTTATATATCAACTCATCACAGTTAAAACTAGACTTTATTGATTTATTCCAGAAAGACTCAAAAAGTGAAACACCTCAGAAAGAACATAGTTGCACCCTCCTGGGATATTTAATGATTTTTTTTGGATATTTTGACTGTTTGCAAAAATATTCATTGGCTGCTCTACAAAACAGCAGCAAATGTTTGAAGTTAATATAATTACTGCGAGGACTTCAGATTCTAAAGTCATCTACTACAGGAGAAGAAAAGCGTATGGAAAATGTTAAACAGGTTTAACAGGTTAAAAGTTAAAGTAAGCCAATACAAATAAGCATTGATCCAACAAGTCATGATAAACGTACGACATGGCGAGTCCTACAGGAGATCCCCACCTCCTGGTGATAAGAAGCAAAACAATATTTGCTTAAGGCTGCACCTTGGAAAAACAGCAAACCCTCTGGGAAACAGTGCAGAGGCAACTTGAGTCTGGCCAGAAAATACACAGGCTTAGCAGAACTAGAGATGTTTGTCCATGTGGGCTGCATATAAATTCATTTTTACAGATTTGGTGGTTCAGAAAAATCTTAATTAAATGTTTTTAACATGTAAAACTTGTAAAATCCTCCTTTTTAAAAATTTTACTGAACTGTAAAGGATTTCCGACTCCTAAACTGAACTTAGAAATGGAGGACGTAACTTCATTACGCAACTGGGAGAGAATCAAAGCTTGTTTTGTGATTTGTGCATGCATAATTGGTGCTTTAATGTTCACAACAAACACCATCTCAAAATAGTGCTATCTTTAAATAAAGACATGAAAGTGACTGGAAAGGTTTGGAATTTTATCTTCCAGATGCACGTTTGCTGCATATTATGAGTCACAGTCAGAGACTTTCACCTAAACTTCTCATCAAAACACTAAAATATTTAGACCGGTCTAGACTAGACAAAAGCGACACACTAGGTTATTCGTCGGGAGTCTAAAATTAGGAGGCAAGTTAGAGCTGCTCCACATCTTAAATGTGCTTCAGACAGAGAGGAAAGTCTCAGTTTTCCAGTTAAAATATAAATGCATCATGCTGGCAGAGGTTCAGTGAACCAGCCATACACAAGTACGTGATCCTCCCTAATGCAGTAAATCAGGCTCTTCATTTTTTTTTTTTTTAAATCTTACTCGTATTAAAGAGGAAGCTGCCTGAGTGAGCTCTTACTGCAACGTGACAGTTTACATCAAAATCAGAGGAAAAGGAAGCTGGAAAAACCCTAAAACATCCAATTGTTACACAAACTCCTTCGGTCTTCCAGGGAGGGAAGATATGACTTTGTTTTTTTCGACTAAAGTGTTTCCAGAGCAAGCCGAGCTGGTGATAACTGGTTCTACACAAACAACCCAGCAAAGAACCGGTTGGTTTTTCCGCGGCCACAGAGCCAACACAAAGCCACATCATTACATCATTTTGAAGGGCCTCTCCATGTTTGATCCTCCCACTGGTGAACTCTGAGTTTCTGCAGGGGCCACAGCGCAGGGAGACAAATTATGGTAACGCAGATGGGTTTAGAAACAACAGCTCGAAGTCTGGATGATGTTTCGAAAATGAGCTACCAACTACAGCAGGATTAAGGCTGGGCAAATAAATCAGAAACACTATATATCATGACAGACAATCAGCTCAATGTTTAGAATATCTACTGAACTCCCATCCAAAACTGCAAAGAATTCTGGGAGATGTAGGCAGAGGAAGGTCTGCACCCGCTCGACCCAAGCGGTTGGTGGCATCAACGAATTCGCTCTATCTTCGGTTACCTAGCAACTCACAAATTCTTTGGTTACCTAGCAACAACCTCTTGAGTAACTTGCGCAGCAGCAGTTTAAGACAAATCAGGCTCTTTGTTTGGATGGAATAAAAACTGTGGATAAAACAGGGTCACGCCACACGCGTAGCAGTATTTTAGATCTGTCTAACAAAAATGCTTATATCATGATACGTTTTGCAGCCAAATCGTTCAGCACTAAGCAGGAATTATAAATGTTGATAGAATGATAACCAGTACCGGGAAATGGCCAATGTGTTTACATTACTTATTGCAACTGGGGATGTTAAAACAAAGACGATGAGAGACAGTGGCTGTGTTTCCACTGACCATGAAGCTACACAAACTGGAACTGCAAAATTAGATTTGCCAAATGGAAACGCCAATTTCGAAAAAATGTTCTTTGATAAAAAGTTTTCACGTTAGAATAAGGTGGTCTACCTGGACTTGGAGAAATGTTCCCCGATTTCAAAACTTTGGCCAAAGTGGTGCTTCTAATTCCAGTGTCCTTTAGAAATGCTGCTCAGCCTTATACAGAGCAAATATCAAACATTTACTGAAAGGGAGATGTACAGTGTGTCAAATCACAGTCATCATGGCTCTCTCTCAAAGGCAAATGATGCAATATTTCATAGGCAAATTTATTTCAAGTGCTGTGCATTAAAACGATGTATGCAAATGACGTATTTAGCCAGCTGGATGTACTTTCACTGCCTTTTATCCCAACACCTGATGCAGATTTCAGTGGCCGAGATGCCAAAGCTCAAGATAAGAGGAGTGAGTGAACTGAGAGGTAATCACAACCACAGAGAGAATCAAAATAACATCATGACATGGCTTTCTGTAAACCCTGTGGCTTATTTTTAATTTCCCTAAGGCAGTGGTTCCCAAACTTTTTCTCCTGTGCCCCCCCCAGTGGTTTCCAAACATTTTCTGCCCCCTCCTATGGATTACAAATGGCTGTCTGGTTGAACGAGGTGTGGAAGGATGTGGGAGGGAGGAGAGAGGATTCTTAGAGACTCCCTGTCCCTGCCCACAGATTGGGAACCTCTGCCCTAAGGAATCAATAAAGTATTTTTGAATTTGAATTGAATTTGGCTGTGGAAAATCAAACTGGCTTCTAACTGTTGTAATTGTTTGCGAAACCAGTTTAGACCAGCTTATAGAAAACAATAGCTGTAAAATGACCAAACTAGTGGTAAAACAGCACTTTGTGTAACTCAGCTGTGATTGCATAGTTTGTTTGTTTTTTCAAATGCATGTTGTCCCCCGTACTGGGTAAAAAGGAACTAATGAAGGAAATTTACTTGAGTTCAAAGCACAGTTATACTTGCCTCTTCTGTGAATCTTCATGTGCTCCTTTAGGCTGCACTTCTGGTTGAACCGCCGTCCGCAGATCTCGCAGCGATACGGTTTCTCACCCGTGTGAATCCTCTTGTGCCTCTCCAGGTGTCCGGCTCGTTCGAAGCACTTACCGCAGTACGGACAGATGAAACCTTTCTTGAACATCATCCTCTTCACCGTCCGCCTGCGCACCGTGTTCCTGTACTGGTTGTAACCCAGCAGGCCACGGCTGAAGGGGCTCTGCGGAAACCCACCGGAGCTGCTGCAGGACAGAACAAGCCCGCCATCCAACGAAGGCTCGGAGAGACACGACAAGGAGTTTTGGCCTAGAGTTAAGTATTCAGAGCTGCTGCCTCCAGCCTCCTTTGGCACCCCTGGCCTCCACTGCCCACCTCCATACAGAGACCCTTCCAATGGCCTGTCCACCTGTCCTCTGCCATCCTCGTTTCCCTCCTTCACAAGTCCACCTTTATGTTGTGCTTCAGGTGCAGACGACATGCTGTGGTTTTCAACAGAGGGACCCTTCTCAACCAGGATCTTCTCATCTCCAACACCCCTCTGACTTTCTGTGGAAAAGATGGGAATCTTTATTAAAATTCACAAAACCAAAACAGTCCAGGGCTCAATCCGAATGTTTATCTGAGGAAAGACTTGAAAACTGCAGTTCACAGATGGTGTTTTTGCAAAGAGGAATGTGCAAAATTTCAATTCTATAGCTACAAAGCTGAAAAAAGAAATATTTTCATTCCATTACTTTGTTTTGACCTCAAATGTAATCCAAATGAAATACATGGAAGCTTCTAAAATTAATGGGACACTCGGTGAAATGAGAACATCTTGACCCAGAAATGTAAATAAAAACGGAGAATGCTTCGTTTCAATCCAATTGTAGCTTATTTATAAATCATTTCGCAGCTCTTTGATGTGTTTGTGATTGTGTTTCTGTCTCAAGCGGACATCTTACTGATTTTTTGTTTTGTTTTGTTTTTTCTGCAGCTCACCGTCTCCTCCGCGGTGCTCCAGCCGGTGGGTCTCCGCCTGCCGCGCCGCCCGCAGCTCTCCATGCAGGACCTCCATGCTGCTCTTCAGCCTCTCGATCTCATCCTCCCGCTGACACATCTCCAGCCGCAGCACCACCATGCCGTCCTCCACAACTTTGAAAATCTCTGCCACAGCTGCTTTGGCCAGGGCATCAACCACGGAGGCGATCTGGGAGCGCAGAGCCACGCCGTTCAACATGATGAACCAGCCAGTCCCTGAAAAATTAGTCTAAACTTTAAAAAACCAGGAGGGCGGAGGAACCGTCGGGCTTCAGCGGGTCTCCTGCTGGCGGAAACAGGCAGTTAGTTAGGCCCGCTGAGCGCTCACACGCTGCATCTCTTTCCATTTGCTCTGTTTGTGGTGTTTATGAAGCCAGGTTTTAAGCTAGCAACAGTTAATTGGTGCCGTAAGAAGACATAAACAACGCAAGCCCTTGTTTTACGGAAGTGATGACATAAAAAATACCGTAAAACGCGGAAGAAAGGCGCAGATTCTTCTTAACTAGTTTATGTCAGGAATCCCTAAAACTCCATCACCTTAGCAACCAATCCCAGAATTGTAATGTCCAATCACAGCACATTATCTTATTTGTAACTAATATTATGTTGAATATTTTTTTCACAACAATGTCTTAAAATTCCATACAAATCCAGCTCAATTACGTAATTATGTCACTGATTAAAAATACATTTCTACTGATGTCCTGTCAACTAAATAAAAGTTATAAAGTGCTTCATGAAAGTTTTTTTTTTCCTCCAGTTTAATTTACAAACTATTATTTAAAAGTGTAGACAAGAAGCAGCTATCTGGTAATGTTTGAGATACTTTCAAAAAAATGTAAATAATTTGTAATTATGGGTAGGATACATTAACTATAATATAAAAGTTTTAGTTCATTTTCATGTATTTTTTGTAATTCAATTAGAAAAGATTTATTCTACAAAGAGTGATAAAGTTCAGGTATTTTTTTAAATTGATGACTGATAAATATCAAAGAATAAAATTCAAAAATTCTGTTTTGCAGAAAATGTTAATTTTACCACTTAAAAGATAGTGATCTCACATTTTCCTCATTTTATTCTAACATAAGTTTGAATAAAAAGCACTGCCATGATTGATGCAACTCAGCAGAAACATAACTGATAACAAATATTAAAGATGAAGAACTCAACAAAAACTGAGAAAAGAAAGTCTATACTGAGAAAAAAAAGCACTAAAGCAAAAGATGTACGAAGCACAAAATGTTTTCATTGAAATGCGTGTAAATTTAAAGCCATTAATGGGTGACATCCAGACAAAACAACTTTTACATTTATTAGATTTGCTTTAAACACAAACCAAACATTTTAAAAATCCCTTTTATCTAAAATAAATCAGCATTTTGCTCAACAGCTAAACATATTTCTTAAACGGCTGCAGATTTATTATCCATGCTTTAATCTGAATCACATTCCTGCCTTGTTGTGGATTATTACAATTAATAAATACATCTGTGAAAGTTTTCCGTTTGATCCAACGGTTCAAACACTGTTGGTGCTACCGTCCACGCAGGTGGATCACTTGGTGGATTTTGAGGTTTCCCAGCACGGTGAAGCTCTTCCCGCACTGCCTGCAGCTGAACGGTTTCAGCCCGCTGTGGAAGCGCTCGTGTCTCAGGCAGTTGTCCTGCCTGGAGAACTTCTTCCCGCAGATGCTGCAGCTGAACGGCCTCTCTCCCGTGTGGACCCGCTGGTGCGTCTTCAGCCGGGTCTTCTGGGTGAACGACTTCCCGCATTCGAGGCACCTGAAAGGTTTGGAGGCCTGGTGAGTGTTCTTGTGCTCCTCCAGCTGAGACAAGCGGAGGAAACTCTTGTTGCACACCGAGCAGATGTAGACGCTCTGATTCCCTCGCCACACGGTCATAAGCCTTTTTGGTCTGCGGTTCATTTTCCTGTTGATAATCTCTTCATTTGATCCAGAGGATTCTGCCTGTGCATGAAGTGAATCTGCCGACGGCCCTCCAGACTCCATACAATCATCCCGAACGTCACCAGGAAGCAAATCGTCTTTATAAACGGACTCAACAAGCACAGAGAGCTCTTCTTTCACCGGCACATTAAAGCAAACATCTTCTCCTTCCTTTCCCGAAGGTAAATATGTACTCCGTATGTCATTACATGGAAACATCTGTGATTGCTCCTGAACTGCAACAGAACTTTTCTCAGACACTCCACAAGCCGGCCAGATGGGGTTGCCTCGATCCGGTGCATCCGTCGCTGCATGTTCGGCTGCTTCATCGAACCGAAGTTCACCTTCTGGCTCTTGCTTCACATCTGGACTGATGTGAGACACACAGAATGAATCAGCAGTTTTTAGTTCAGGATAATCCTCGTCAATTTCAGGATGTTTCTCCTTATCTGCAGCCAAAAGAAAACAATAGCATGATGTGCTTACAATCTGAAAATGTTGTTCAGAACAGTAAGTCCAGCAGAACCTTTGCCTACGTTCACACAGCAGGTCTTTTTGCTAAAATCTGATTTTATCCGTATACCAACTGTAAAGTACGAAGGTGGAAGCGTCATCTTTTGAGAATGCTTTGCTCAAACCTGTTGCAATAAATCAATTAATCGCATGATAAATGAAAATGATTATTGAGCTATTTTTTCTCTCTTTCTACCTAAAACTGGATGATAAAACTCCTCAGGCTGGTGTTTTGGTCTCAGCTAGTCCTTTTTAACTGCAATTTTTGCTTACAGAGACATTACAGTTGATGGTATTTGTTGTTTCTGTTGTTTATTTATTTTGGATATTCAAAATGTCTTCCAGTTCCAGTATTAGACGATCATTAGAATTTCAAGTTAATTTGATCTTTGAGAATGTGTTCTTGCATTATTATGCCATTATCATTATATTACTTGACAATGGTGTGAAAACAATTAAATTATCTTTTATTGCAATAACTTCTGGGAATATAAATATTATCCTGTAAAATGTGTTATTGTGACAGACAGCTTTGCAGCAACAGTACCAGCCCAGCTCAACAACACTGAATCCACCACATGCCAGAACTTCCTCAAGCATCTCACAGCTATAAACGAGGGAAGGACAAACTTTACTGAGACTGACTACAAGAAGAGTTTCACCTTTAATCTCCGATATGTGTAATTACTAAAATAATTAAACATGATAGTTTTAGACGAATTTAACGGGAAGTTAAAATAATAATTTTACCTAATGTACTTCTAAGGTAAAAGTTAAGAAGACCTTGTTTATCAGTTATCAGTCTGAATTGAAGACATTTTGAATGCAGTTTGGTGTGTCCTCCTCTCACCTCTCCACAGTTCCTGATCCGCCGCTGCTGCGGTCTGCATCTGTTTCTCGGCTGTAGCTCGCCTTGCAGCCGCTTCCTGAGCTTTCCGGAGCTCAGCCTCCGTCCTCTTCAAGTTACTCCGGAGCTCCTGGATCTCGCTGTCCCTTCTGCTCACCTCCAGCCGCAGAGCCACGCTGCCCTCCTCCACCAGCATCGTTATTTCTGCCACCGCAGCTTTGGCCAGAACATCCATGATGGCGGCCACCTGCGTACTGAAAGCTGAGGGGAAAGACATCCCGCTGGAAGAGTTTAAAAAACTCAACAGAAGTGAAGTTTTGGCTTCCTATGAAGATGAGAATCAGCGTCCCACCTGTTTTATTTTGATTTACTTCCGGTAAATTCGAAGCCGGAAGTGAGGAAGACACCAGTAACCGTAAAGCCTCTAATATAAGCGAAATGTTCGAATCCCTCGCTGTACTTCATAGCAACGTTGATCTCTTTATTAGACATACGTGAATGTCTACAGATCTAAACGTCCATGTGGTTTCCAATACAAGGTAATAGCATCTAGTGTTTTCTAAAAAGAACATAATGCAACAAACACTTCATTAATTCACAATGCTCTTTATTCAAATGCCTCAAACCAGACATGTCAATCAATCAATTTCAGATAAACTATTTATGTACATAAACTTTGCATAGAAACAACTGACCCAAAGATAAGTGCAAACGGTAAGTGCTATGGAGCCACTTTCACAACTAATCTCCAAAATCTTGAGAATCAAAATGCAGGAAAACAAAGTGAAATGTTTTTTTTATATAATACAACCATCACACAACAGAGATGAAGAATGACGAGTATTTATAAAGGCTGTTCATCTGTATTACGTGTGATGTTGGAGCAGCACTAAATACTTCGTTCCACCTCAATGTTTGCATTTTTCATGTTTTATTTAGAATAATTCCAGGCAGAATTATTAAGGCCTGGGATTAAGTTATAATGACCTCCTCAACGCAGTTATAACAAACTGAATCTCATGCTTTTATTATTGCATTTGTGTCTGACGAACACAAAATTAAAATTATAAAAAATCTGGTAAAGATGTATGAAAAGCCTTAAGTTAAATTATAATCTCACCATTGAAAATGAAGAAAAATAGAAAAATACACTTTTAACTTTACCACATTTATTCAGTAGGAATGAAACTCATGTTAGAAATGCCTCCCTTCACAATTATTGTGACCTAAATGAAGCTGAACTATTTTTTTATTTTATTTTTTTTATTCTCTATATTTTTAAGTTGTTCCTGCTTCTGGGGTAGAAGTGTAACGTGACACAGAGGCCGTTTTCTTTTAACTGTTTTTCAAAATGGGAAAGAGAGGGAAATGTATCATTAAAGTTAGGGAAGTTGGTATACAAATGAGAAAATAAGCAGCTTCTCGTTGCAACTTGCCCTCAGGGGCAGAGCAATAATTAAAAATGCAAAACAGCTGGAACCCACATTTATCTTTCCAAGACGCACAGTGAGGAGGCCGGTGATGGAGGATGAATAAAGTCTCCTGAAAGTGGCATGCTGGGGTCACCAAGGCTCCACGAGTGCCAATAATTACACAGATTATACAGATGTTTAGGAGCTTTTTTCCACTGAAAAATTAGTTGAGTCAAATATTTTGGTGAGATTTTACCACTAAAACATATGGTGGTAGCTTTTTATGCATCTTTACCAGGGTGTGACTTTATAAACTGTTTTCAACAAAGCTACTATGATGACTGTAAACCAAAAAAACTAAATATTAACAATGATGACAAAAATGTCAGCAATCACAAAATAAAACAATGATGAAGTTTTACTTTCGGCTGGGTAGAGAGCCTCGTGAACACCGTGAGCTGAGTCTGAAGCATCTCCTTCACTCACTAACAGTAAATTTGGGCAAATTGGAATTTTTAAAATCCGCTTCATGGAAACACAGCCAGCTATTTTGAAAAACCTCACACTTTTGTGGTAGGATGAGGTGATTTTTCAGTCATATCGAAATGGATGCATTTCAAAAAACTGCCATGGAATACATTTTTTCGTATCACACGGATCATGTGATCGACAGCTGGCTGTTACTACTGTCAGAAACGCCAAAGAAGATGACAGGAAGTGATAGAAGGACAAAAGTTTTTGTTTTTTTCTACAGCCAGCTGGCTCCAACAAAGCTCTCATAGTTTATAAAAAGATGAGTTTGTCATTCGGATCTGTAGCTAAAATCTGCAACTACAATTTCCCCAAAACGCTGCATCTGTAACCGTTCCTAAATATAAGGGACTTGTCGCTGAGTTATGAATATAATCTCAAGTAACTGTTTACATCTGTCACTGCTGTGGTTTTTAATGACTTATTGCGTGAACAAACTTGTTCACGTGATTTTAACTGCATTTCTTATTTAATAAAAATGTCGCAGTTGTGAAATTTTGTTTCTTTCCACACAAGTGAAATGTCGACAAAGTTTTGCACACATTTGTAATGGAGGCCCAGCTACTGTCCTTCACTTCCCCAGTCCTTCTGGGTCCGCCTCTCCTTCTCTTCCTCGCTCTTTCTCCCGCCTCAGCGTCGCGATGGCCACCGCCTCGTCGAAGCACATGCTGAGCGGGCTGTTCCTCTTCGCGTCCCTCACCGCCGCGTCCAGGCCGTCCCTCCTCTTCTCTCTGAGCATTGACGGCCTGTCCTTTTTCTCGGCGGTCTCGCTGTCCCCGTCTCCGTCCCGCTCCTGCTCTGTGGGGACCTTCAGAGCGTTGTCTTTCCTCTCTCGTTCCTGCTGCTGCTGACGGAGGGTCAGCGCAGTGATTTTGCAGTGCTGAGGCTTCGGGGGAACTACCGGCACGGCTTTGACCTGGTAAACCTTAGGCTGTTTGGAGACGACCAGCTTCCTCCCGACGCCTCCTGGGCTGCCACTGCCGTTTGCAGGATTACTTCCTTCCTTTGGGTCCCTAATATCAGATGAGATCACTGGCTGTTTATTGGCGCTCGGCTGTGTTCTGCTTTCTGCTCTGTCTGCGTCTTCCTTCTCCTTTTCTGTTTCTTCGGAAACCGCATCTTCTCTCTTTTGATGCTCAGCTTCTTGATTTAACTCATTTCTCTCTTCATCTGAAGGTTTCTCTACATTTGGCTCCAGTGATGACGCTTCTGTCTTGTTCGTCACGTCTTCCTCCTCCACTTCTCCATCTTCCTCGACATCTGCCTCTGAAGAAGCTTTCCTCTCAGATTGCTCACTCTCCTCATCCTCAATCACTTCACAAACAACATCTTCAATCTCACTCCAAATGTCACTACTTGTCCTGCTGTTTGCATTGTCCTCCTCACTGACTTGTCCTTCAATGTCTTTTGACGTATCATCTCTTGTTGTCAAAAGAGAATCATCTCCAGGCTCATCCAGAACCTCTTCCCCGTCCTCAGCTTTTGCTCCAGTCAGACTGTTGGTTTCCTGAAGCTCCTCACAGCAGCTTGTTGATGCTTCTGAAGTTACACATTTTTCACTTTCATCGTCTTCTACGGCGCTTGGAGATTCATCTGTTGACCTGCCAGAAGGACAAATAAAAAGCAGTTCAGACGTCTGCAATAGAAGTAAATCAGCAGAGAAACATACAGAATCTTCCTAAAGGAACTTTATCCTATTTGGAAACATTAAAATACAAACAAATTTAAATGTGTTTTATTGAGATACACAAACTCAAAGCAACACATAGTTTAGTTCACTTGACTTTAATTTACTCCATTTTAGTTTAGATCACTTTAGTTTACTTAACTTTAGTTCGCTTTAGTTTAATTCACTTTATTTTAGTTTGATCACTTTAGTTCTCTTCACTTTTGTTTAGTTCACTTTTGCTTAGTGCGCTTCATTTTAATTCACTTTGGTTTAGTTTAGTTCGCTTCACTTTGATTCACTTCACTTTAGTTCACTTTAGTTTAGTTTGATCACTTTATTAAGTAATAACTTAATAAGTATTTATATTCCTGTTGGTATTTGTACAACTTTACTTTTGTACAGTTTTTTATTGTCACTGTTTGTAAAAAGTCTTTAATTCACATTTTGTACATTTTTAATTAACCAACTCGACAGAAGCACACTCTTCTTTACTGGAGTACAGTATTTTTACTACTACACTGAATTTATGCTGAAATCTTGCCCTTTCTGTGCAGTATTTTTATTCTTTATTCTGTTTATTTATGTACCACAGAAACCAGATTATTTACTTGCACTGAATACATTTTCTCTCTGTCTGAAGTTAATCAGATCAAATGTTTCTTGTTTCAGCTTAGTTAGAATTACCAAAATTATTTATAGAAAACTTAGCGAGAGCATTTTTTAGAAAAAATAAAAAGTTTACGTACATTTAGTCAGTAATAAGGAAAACTGTATTTTAATCTGTATGATATGGATCAAACCTTTTGGGCTTCCTTCCACGAATGTCTGATAGATTTACTGACACATCTGAGTTAGCTTTAGGAACACCTGTGTTTGTTTTAAGGCCACACGTTAAACACGCCTCTTTTTGTGTTTGATATGATGGGAAAGGGAAAATAAAAACGGGGATGGTTGCACCATCCTAACTGTGACGTACAGAGGTGGCAGCATCATGCTGTGGGGCTGCACGAGGAACTGGTGCACTTCTTAAAATAGACGGCATAATGAGAAAAGAACATTATGTGGAAATATTGAGGCAACATCTGAAGACATCAGCCAGGAAGTAAAACAATCTGCTCAAAACTCATAACTTTGTTTATAATGCCAACATCCTTGTGCTACTTATAGCTTCTTCTTATTCATATTTTACAGATTTCAAATAATTTTTGGTCCTCTTAAACCTTCATATTGGCTGAATGTTAGAGTGGCTTGATAACTGAAATCATATGTTAATAATTTATTACCTCTGTGTGTCCTTTTCAAGCTGATCTTCTCCATGATAAGATTCATCCTCTTCCTCCTTTTTTGTCTCTTGCTTTTCTTCATCGTTTCCAGCGTTTTCCTGCACATGCTCAGTTGCTTCTTTACAAACAGAAAGTTCAACATCCAACGGTTCGCAGCTTTTTCCCTCAGACCTCTGCAGCTCCTGGACTAGATCAGGACTGGGACAGTCCCGGTTGTCTGATTCCAGCCCAGACAGATTGCTCAAGAAGAAGTCCGGTGGCAGGCTCTTAACAAACATGCTCTCATCTTCATCGCTGCTGTAATCATCTTCATCTCCCTCATCTTCTGAAACATCGTCAGAGGAAGAGTGTTCCTCTGGTCCGTCTATGGGCGACGTCATGTAGGGCAAGCTGAGGGATTTAGTGTGTCGACTGTTCAGGTCGAGGCTGAGCGGTCTGTGTGGATTCGGCTCTGACACACTCAGCGTCGGTCTCTCAGCTTGAGCCATGACTTCATACTCATCATCAGAGTGACCAGGAGGCTCGACGGAGAACTCATTAATCTGAAAGGCAAAGAGACCAAAATGCTAAAACTACTTATTTAATCTGTCATGATAACAAACTTTGCTGGATGATAAATTGTTGGGGGAATGAACAATAATGTTGTTTTGTACAACGGTGTATTAGGGCCATCGTAGATAAAAGTTTAAAAAAAAGAAGGTAATTTCTAGGAAATTTTCTAGAAAAACATAGGAAATTTCTGAGTCGAAAATGTGCTAGAAAAAAATCTGAAATTTTGGGATTAAGTTTAGTAATTTTGTAAAAGAAAAACTAGAAATATGAGATTGAACAGTCAATAATTTTCTAGAAAAAACTAGAAATTTTGAGAATAATTTCAGAAACTTTCTAGTTTCAAAAGTCAGTGTTTTTACTTTTGAAACTCAGAAAATTTCTGAGGTGAATCTAAAAATTTCTGAGTTTTTTATAGATTTTTTGTACTTCACAAATTCATAAATTAAAAAAAATTCTAGAAAATTTCTGAAATAAATTATTTAAATTAATTTCTGAGTTTTTTGGCAGAAATGTATTCCTCTTTTTTCTGCTTCTACAATAACTCTAATACGCCGTTGTATGTTTTGAAACATTTTTTAAGTGAGATACTGATAATGGTACAAGAAAGCAAGTTCGCCTTCTCAAAGATCAAGCAACACTGAAACTAGAAGACAAAAAAACAACCAAAAGATTAAATAAAATATAAATTAAAACACAAATAATCATAAACATACATAAAATGGATTATGAAGACTCTGAAAACAAAACTGCCCTTCAAAAAGTATCAAAATGGAAATGATCAAGCCTTTTAATTTATGATGTGATGAATTGATTTATTGCTTATTGCTGAATGTTAATTCTACATAATTTGTGAGATAATAATGTCCCACCTGATAGGACCCACTGCAGTCCATGTGGTCCATGGCGCTGCAGTCCATCAGGTCCAGGAATTCAAAGTTGTCCTCGATGTAGCCCGACACTTTGCGGTCGTCTTCCTCGGCTTCAGTTGAGTTTAGAAAATCATCAGAATCAGAAACGCTGTCGTCTTCATGCTGCGAGGCTGCAGCCGCCTGCTGATAGTCCAGCTCTGATCCCTTCATTTCTGTAAATAAATGATGATCAGGGTCAGAAATATGATGGAGTACTAGAGCTACAGTTAGAAAATGAAAAGAATACAAATACAATTACATAGATAATTTCACCCTTTCATGAAAATATCATTATAATGTCACAAGAGGAAACTCATAATATCACAAGAATAAAGTTGTAAAAGAATAATGTTGAAATAATATGCTAACAAAGTCATAATGTTACGTGAATAAAGTCGAAATATTATGAAAATAAACTTTAATTATGACTTTAGTCTCATATTATTATGACTTCGTTAGCGTATTATTTGAACTTTATTCTTTTACAACTTTAAAACCTTGAAATATAGGTTTCTTCTGAAGTTACTATTCTCATAATACTGACTTTATTCTCATAATATTATGACTTTCTTCTCGCATAACTTTATTCTCGCAATTCTGACTCTATTCTTCTAATATTACGACTTTATTCTAGTAATTTTATGCATTTCTTATTTTCTAATACTGCATCATACAAACAGAAGCTTGCAGGTTAGTAGGAGAGACACAACATATTTAGGTCAGCATGTTTAACTAATCATTATGAATTTGTAAAAATCACCCATGTATTCGCTGTCTTGGTCTTCATCTCCCATGTTTTCGTGATTATCTTCCTCTGTGCCGGAGTTGTGGCTTTTCACTCGTTTTTCTCTCGGTACATGTTGGCCCCCCGTCTCCTTGTGTCCACAATCTTTTCTTAGCTCCTCACCGTTTTTCTCTTCTCCTCCTTCATTCCTCTCCTCCTCAGAGACTTCTGCTGCCCCTTCATGTCCCTCTGTGTCCAAATCTTCTGTTTCATTTTCACTCTTGTCCTTTTCTTCAACATTTTTGCTCTCTTCCACGTTCCACTCCATTAATTTTGGCTCCTTGATCTCGATCTTTCCCCCTGCCTCCTTGCCATCCTGCTTGTCCCCTCCGTCTTTGTCTCTTCCCCGGATAATGACCCTATCACTGCCACCTCCTTGAAGAACCCCCAACGCCAGGTTAGAGGTGATATGTAGCGGCACAGTGACCATGGTGGGGCCGGTGATGTGCATAGCTGCTCGTCTGGCTTTGTTGGAGAGTCCTGGAGACCTGGTCTGGACGCCCTCGCTGCCCGGCACCGCTAAACCCTCTGGGTCCAGAGCCGTGTAGGTCCCCTGGGTGCCTGCTCCTCCGCTCACTAAGCCCGTTCCTCTGCGGTAGGTCACGGCATATTCTCTGCTCCCTAACCCGCTGGCGGGTGCTGCGGAGTCTGAGCCGGGCGGAGCCAGGCTGGTGGCTGCAGGGGACAAGTTGGTGGATGGAGGACGCGGCCCAGAGCGCCTGGAACCTGAAATACAAGGAACAGTTCAAAACAACCAGAGTTGGTTAGAAACTAGTTTCATCTGCTCAATTACTTGGGTAACTTTTTTGACAAACTTTACTTTTAGGAATATTTTTACTATTTCTCGATTTTCTACCCAATGAATTAAAAACAAACACGTTTTAACCAAAAATTCACCAGCCACAGACACAAACCTGCAGTTTTTGGTAACGTTTCATAAGTTTTTTATTGAAAGAAACCTATTATTTATTTTGCCTAATTTTGTTATTTTTTTGTTACTTCTATCAGTTATTGTCATTTTTATCTTTAACATACAAACATTTCTACTTAACTTTATATTTTCATGTATCTGATTATGTAATTTTTTAATATTAAATGATTGATAATTTGATCAGTTACTCTGCACTTGAGTAGACGTTTCACCAAATACTTTTTTTCTCGTACTTGAGTAATTTCTTGGATGGCTACTTTTTACTTTTACTCGAGTAAAAATATTTTGAGCAGTGTTAGGGTGTCTTGTCACTTTAAATCCAGATAAGCTGCTGCTGGCCACACCCCATTAGCTCAACATTTACATTCACATGTGAAAATGGCTGCAAACTGATGTGCAGTTATACAACCGTATATCTTTGAAAAGCATTAGTAGAGCCTTCTCCACAACCAACCAGAATGTAGCAAGTGATTTCTGGACGGCAAGTCAACAACAAAACACTTGTCTTTTCCAGCAGCCATTGTACAGCTCATACAGCAGTAAAACCAACTAAGCCCAAATGTGCTGGAGCTCAGCTAAGGTTGCTAAGTAAAGGGCTGGGCTTCACTGGAGTAGCTAGGTAACAGGAGTTGCTAATTTGTGGCATTACATTCTGGAGGTTTTTGAAACAGTTTTATTTTCAGACACCAAAAAATATTAATTTATTGCAGAAAAACATCTGGGTAGTTTGATTAAACACTTGGGCTGTTTATAGAAGCAGTGTAAATCTAAATGGAAGTATAAAAATGTATAAAATGATAATTTTGCATAATAGACCCACTTTCAGTTATCTTCTATTGTCTATCATGCTTGTCTGCTTTTAATTCAGCTACATCAGCAATGTTTTTTGTTTCTCTTTCAGTTTCTGCTGTTAAAAATGTTTCTACTGCATTTTATTTTCGACATATACTTGCTTTACCAATTATTCTGCATCTTTACAGACTCAAAAAAGTATTTCTGCTTCAGTTTAGCTTCTTCAGTAGATTAAGTTGCAAATTAAGCTCATTAGATTAACTGCATTTTCAAAACAAAGCTAAATTGTTCTTATTCTGATATAATTTATTCTTGGTCTTTTTTTTATTATTGTGTTTTTAAATCTATCCTTTTTTATTTTGGTACATAGTGTGGTCTGCTTACTTAATCAATAGCTAGCGTCATTACTACAGCTGTTTTGTGGATCAGAAGGAAATAAAATTAGGAGCTAATTGTTTTGACTATCGTCTAAATTTTCTGTCACCACAAAACTCTTTCACAATAGAACATACAATTTTACTAAAAATAAAAAGAACTTTGCATCAGATCAGTTAGGCACAGCAAATAAATAAAATAAAAAGAGTTTATTGCTATAAATCCCCGTTGATTAATTAAACCAATTTTTTAAATATTTGAGAGCAAAGCACCTTCATTTGGGTAGGACGGTGTGCTGAGGGAGTCCATGCTTCTTGCCGGTCTTAAAGATGTTCTGTCTTTTTCTGAAATTACAAAAGGTAGTGACAACTTCATGAAGGAGAATATAAAGACGCAGGCAGCATTTAAACGAATGTGGTAAAGGTTTGCATAACTGAATAGTTTTATTTTTTCTACCACTCCAAAACTACAGATTATCAGATAATCTGGAGCTTACTCACTTCAATAAATAAAACTGAAAGCACTTTTTTGTTTGTTTTTGGAAAAACCCACAAATAGAGACAGAGAAGTCAAATCTCTCATTTCCTACCCTTGGCAGAATGTTTGTGTTTCCGTCGCGGGTCTGGGAATCGTCCTCCAATGTTGAAAATGGACATCCACTTCCTGCCTTTGAGTGATCCTTTCCTCCTGAGGACGCAGTTTAGTGAACAATGTCTAAATTTTATCCAAATTCACATATCTATGAAGCTAATTTACATTCATGTGGCCTTGAATAAGTTTAACCATCTTTAAATGTAAGTATGGTCCTGTATTAATATTTTATCTAACGGATCAATGATCCCCTCACTTGTCTGTGCCTTCGATGATTGAGTGGTAGGGTCTGATGGCGAGGGGACCATCGCCTGGACTAATGTTCCCAAAGTTAGGCTGAGAACCCGACGACCTGAAGAACACGAGCTCCTGATTGGGCAGCGCCGACGGCGAGGGGAGGGACTTCCTCCTCTCTGTAGGTGCGCCTAAACGACGGAGAATGCAGAGATGAAGCAGGAGTCTGAATGTGGGGAATGTCTGAGTGTTTCTCCAGACCTTCCAGAGGAAACAGCTGAGGGACGTGAGTGAGGACGAACTCCACCACGATGGACTGGACCCGGACCTCCATGAAAGCTGCGGTACCGTTGAATCCAGACGCCTCGATGTCCTTGGACCTTATCATGCAGGGAAATAAATATGTTTATCAACTGGTTTTAAGAAGGAGCAGCTTTAATTCATGTTAAAACACAAGGAAGGAGAATTTGAAGAAGGACCAAGATGAAGAAATAACTGATAAAGGGAAGATTTCAATGGAAAATAATGTGTAAAGACAGACAGAGAGACAAATCTCATCAATTCACTTGTTCTAGAAACTCAAAGCAATGCTTCACATAAGCCAGTTTTAAGTAACAAAGCAGGTGTAAGGCAGGTACGTTAGCACACCTGAGCAGGTTGGGGGCCCAGACGATGGCCAGGTTGCGAGCGTGCATGTTGGTCTCTGAGGAATAGGAAGCCATCTTGACCAGGTGACGCATCAGAAACTCCAGAGTCCTGCGAGAATAATGGTTAACATGATTTTATCTTTTAAAAAATTACAATTTGTCATTATATATACACCTCACTAACAAACAATTATGTTTAAACAAGAGTCATGTCTGTGTTTACTTTATGAATTTGAATCCTTGGTGACCTTTTATTTATTTATTTATTGCTAAGATTTGAAGCTGTTCAACTATAAAAGTCATCTAAATTAAATCAGAGTAATGAACTTTAAAAAATCTAAACAAGTGGGTCCCAAAACTATGGCTTTTAATATACTATTAAAAATGTACATTCTTAAAAATATTTTTCTGTCACTTAAGTATATGGCAAATAAGTTTCCTTACACAACTGGAACATTTTAGGAAAAAAATACATAAAATTTATTAGATTTAAAGTCAATATTGAAATAAATTAACTGGTCATCCCTCTATTTCTCTCTTGCTTGCACTACTTTATTGAATGTTCTTTTTATTTGTCTTAATAGTTTATTTATAAAATTTCCATATTCTTATGCTTCACATAAGTATAAGAATAATAACATCAAATAACAAAATCTAAGTAATTTCAGAAACTGAATTTTACTGCTTAATGAAGAAAAAAGTATTTTTTATTTATCATCCTTCATTGAAGCACACAGAAAAGATACAGAAACATGATATAAAGGAATAGTTTATTATCTTCAATCCTTAATTTTTTAGCAAAACTGTTTATCTGGAACCTCTGCCAAATTTGGCTAAAAATAAACCTTCAACACCAACGGCATAATGGACTACAACCGTTTTAGCTACGTTTTACCTGCTATAAGGTTAGTAAATATTAAGAAGCAGAGGATTTCAGTTTTAGAGGCTCTACCTGTAATGAGGTTCTGGCAGCTCCTTCAGCACATCCCTGATCTTTACCAGCCTCTCCTCCTCCAGCTGGATGGCCACTGCCTCCTGCAGGAAGACATGCACTGTTAGCATTTTCCATTTCTTAAAACATTTACCTTCTCGAAAGTCAGTCAACATAATAGTCAATGAGAATCCACTTGATCTTGAGCATGTAATTTCAGAGAGCAGAATCAGAGTTACTCACAGCAAACTTGTCATACAGCTGGTATGTGAGCAGAGGGTTGGGCAGCTCTCTGAAATAAGCTTTGCACAGAGAGCTGACGCAGTGGATGTCCTGCAGATATACATCTTTGTTCAGATCTGGAGACCCGTCACTCTCAAACTCGCCCCTGGTTTCACAGAAACAAAAGATTCACCTCATAAGGTTTTCACAAACAAATCTAAATAAGATCTAAACTTATTTTCGAATGCGGTCATAAGAAGATTGTACAGAATGCAGAATCTTTGCAATAATAATTTGCATCCTGACAAAGCCTTTTCTACTCCATTATTTACATGCTAACTGAGATTTGTAGAGCCTGAGATGGAGCTCTTGTGTTTTTGCTGGTGGTGGGACTCAATTAAATTATTTAATTGAGTTAATTTAATAGTGTCAATTGTAATTAGTTAATCAAAATGAATCAACAAAATAAACATTTTCAATTCCAAAACCCTTTTTGCAGCTAAACTATTGAATGAATAGACATATGGCTACATACATATTTTTAGTTTTAAATTTGTTATTCAGCCATCAGATTAGTGCAAAGTGCTATTATCACTATTCACCTTTCACGTTTTTCAGGAACCCCTTATCATTCATGTAACTTCTTTTTTCCTTCAGACATCAGCGCCAGCGTTAGTAGTGTGCTGCTACATGTTTAGCATTGAGGCTTGAACAGCTTTGGAAATGGGCTAACTCCTTTTAGCACAACTTGAACACAACAAAAGTATTTACCAGCGTCCCAAAATAACGTTTTTTGACGCAAAAAGCCATTTCTCTTGACTCAAGAGAAACGACTTTGTCATCCATGGTTTTTGTTTGCGGATGTTGTTTGTGCGCCAGATTTACGGGCGTACCGAAACACGTGAATAGAAAGGTTCCGGCTCGGGACTTCTTTGTGTAAAAAAAAAAAAAAAATGCAATTAATTTCGTTAAAATTGTTAACATGTTAAAATCCAAGTAATTAATTAACTCCCTAAAGTCCCGACTCTAGTTTCTGCGTTTTGTTTTAGGTGAATTTACAGCAACATTCCCTTCTGGGAAGATTAGCTTCTCTCATAATCGATTCTGCATGGGGATAATTTTGTAACTGTAAAATTATGGATTCAAATTGTTTAAAAATGGTCTTAATTAATATCCCTCACAGGTCATTGCTGATGTCTTTCCATCTTGGTATTGAGCTAATGCACACCAACAATACACCTGATTAACCAATTAATCAGGTGGATTTGATTATAAAACATCTGGTTATGCCACTTCCTCCTCTTACGGCAGAAACCTTCAGGTTGTGCTTAGATTTTCCTTTGACTGTATTGAAAGCATGGAAATATCTAGTGTGAAGGGGTACCACACAATTAGCCAAATAAAAAAGACTAACCGTAGTTTCTGGATGTTGGACGACACTCCAGACAAGCGGTAGATTCCATCCACGATCCCATGTTGCTCCACAAACTCGCTGCAGGATCGGAGCACCAGGGGAACTGCAGGAAATCACTCTGATTATTAAAAGCAACTACAGAACAACAGACAAAATGAGGTATGGACAAAGGTTATAGTACTTCTGCTCATACATTTGTTGAATTTCAGTATAGGACTTTATATATCAAACCAGATCATAAAAATACGGGAAGCTAAAGCCAGCTGTTGCTATCCAACGCTGCAAAAACACAAAATTTTGCAAAGTATTTTTGTCTAATTTCTAGTGCAAATATTACTTGAAATAACCTTTCAGCAAGGTTTAGGAGCTTGTTTTAAGTCAGTAATTCTTGAATGTTGACTTAATTAACAAAATAGTACAAGTTGCATTGGTGCATTTTTTTCTGTGTTAGGAGTGTTGGAAAGCTTCTTGCGTTTTGCAGTGAAAAGATAAAAGATTTTCCTCATTTTTAGGAAAATATGCTGTCAGGTTGAGGTTACTAGACAGATAAAAAAAAACACTGGTATAAAAAAGGTGTTAAAAGACTTCCAGGAAACAGGAAACATAATAAAACCTGAGGTTTTTTTGGTGTACAGTGCAGTTAATCTTTTTTTTTTTTTTTTTTTACTAAAAATAATTTCTTCATGGTGATCTAGAGGAATTCAATCAGCAGTTAGATTTATATTTAATCTTTCATACCCACATAAAATAAATAATTTCTTTGTTGAAATTTTCCAATGAAAGTAAACATGCATGTTTACTTTAACCACCAGATTTTGTATTGAGACAGAATGCTGTAATAACCACAATACCTGCTGCTGAACAAATGAGTGAAACAAAATATTAAGACCGCAATTCAACTTCTTCAATCTGTGATGAAATCCCAGTAACAGCACTCTGGCATTTTTGCACAATTTACAGGCGTGACCTGTGTGCCTGACGAGCTTTCAGCTCTTTCAAAAAGACGTAATTTGGTGCTAAATGTTGTCTAACCAAACCAGAGACCACCAGAACTAAATGAAGGCTGATCTGAAATTCCACCTGCTGTCTGAAAAGTCTTAAAAGTTTTAATTAGTTAAACTTTGCAGACATTATCTAGAACAAGCAACAGTTTTTTTTTACAAACCAGGAAGGTGTGTCATCATGCAGCTCTTCGACCTAATCTAAAAAAAAAAATGCCACTCAATTTTTGACATCTTTACCCACAATGAACCCAGTGAAACCATGAAAACAGAGGAAACATAAAGATACTCCCATCAACCTCCTTTGTGGTTTGGGTTCAATGCACTAAGTAAAAAAGAATAACCTGCAGTGGTAAGCGCGAAACTTTACTGGCTCATTGTCAGAGTCTCAGTATTGCCATTGTAAACTTTTATTCTCAATATTTATGATTATGTTCATGAGCTACAGAAACAATATAAACAGACTCCTGCTTCTAGGGATTTTTGGTATCTGAAAAACTGAAAATTTGGCCTCAGTTCTTTGGTGTTTGTGTTTTTGGTTTGATTCTTTCTACTAGGTGATTTATGCATCACAGTTTCTGCCATTATAATTCTTCTTGTAGGTCTATTTTCATAGTCATTTTCTATTTTCATAGTTATTGAACTCCCTCTACATTGTTTCCTACCTCAGTTCACATCTTGCCATATTCTATTCAAAGTCCTATATTAATTATCACTCAAAAGGTATTAGATTATTCCTTTGTATTTTGTTTTTCTGTTGTAACATGTTGTTCTTTGTGCTTTTCTACTTACTTTCCTTAGATTAATGTTAGCATTTCTTTGGTTTAGTATGTCATCTTTTGTTTCTCTCATATTATACCCACACTGCCTCATTATCCCCACGTTTCACCCGATCTGCCACTCATACAGCTAACTAGATACCTAGTTAGCTACCTGGCTGTACAGATAAATAGATAGATACATAGTCAGACTGACAGACAGACAGATACTTTCCTCCTTTCTGTTTCCATATTTTGTGATAATCAAGAGATTAAAAGCTCTTATCTTTCTCTGTTCAGTGCCAGATTTTCAGGGTTTTTTGCCCAGATTCACCTCTAGTTCCTTGCTCCTTTTCAAGTCACATTTTATTTGATGTCTCTGAGATTTGTAAGTTTTGCTTGATAAAATTCTCGTTAATGCCTTTCATCATCAGTTGCTGTTTGCAGTGTCAATACCCTGCAGAGTCAACGTTAAAGGGTTAGTGTTATGTATTTTCCAGGCACATTGTGCCATTTTATAGCACAATCAAGTAACTATGTTACCTTCACTTATTATAGAAGTGCATATCAAACTTAACCTAAAAGAAATTTGATTTTGCACTTTGATCCCTTGAAATTGGGCCTCTATTTCTTTAAGAAGGTCCTACTCTTTCCAACACGCCGCCTTCAGAGCATCATAATAACAATAGCAACTATGCTTCTCCATTAGGCCGTTTATGACTGTTCTTAATGCCGTAATATGATGAGCTCAGAAAATCCATAGTTCCAGCAGGTGTTTGCTAATTGCTGCTGCCGCTAGTCTGAAGGGGCTGAGGCAGGAATCAAAACAACACTCCAGGTATATATTTGATGAGGAAATAACATAACAGTTTGTTTGATTTAAGGCAAATAATACTATATTTATGTCTGATTAAGTTTTTTAATCGATGTCACTATCAGCTTTACACAGCAAGAAACTGAAATTTGTGTCCACTGCACTTTGCAAAACTCTAAAACTACTAAATTAGACTACTCTACCACACAATAATGCACTTTTTAGTCTCTTCTGAAGAAAAGTGGTTGCACTAGACTTTAGAGGATCAGATTAAAGAGGAATACAAATGTAAAAGCTTTTAAGGTTTTGATATTTTTATCTGAAAATCCATAATTCTGCTCTAATCCCTGTTGATTTATCATATCCAGTCCCACTGAAGTTTGAAGTTGTGACATGACAACTTATTTAAAAAAAAGTTTGAAGGCTATAAATCCACAAATTCAGCTAAAACCTCTGACGTGATCAACTCTAGAAGCCCCAGATAGAAATAGTAATGGTAGTCAGTGTTAGAGTAATACATTATCAGGTTTTGTCAAAGCAGGTGTGGTTGAAGTTTTGTGGTTTTAATGTTATTATAGAAAGTCCCTTAAAAGGTACATAAGTGTCTCTGCTACTGATTATTTATGAAACTATACAATCCTGACAGCTAAAAAGAAGAAAAACACTCAATAAGACGAATCTGATGCTTTACATTCAGGTTCTCAGCAATCTGACAGCGGTTTTGTGATGCAGGAAATACAAATACAGTCTTGAGATGAATGTGTGAGGACAGAGGCGATGACTATCCACTTACTCTCCTGATTAGAGGTGGTGAGATGCTCCAGCAGATCACATCCAAACACCTTCTCTTTGTTGCCTCCTTTTCTTCGATTTCTCCGCATCTCTTCCTGCCTCGGGTTTCCACCTCACATTCAGAGCGGCCTGCGTTGCTCCTCCGTCAGCTCAGCCTGCCTTCCTGCCTGCCTGGGCTGGATTTGCTCTCCAACTCTCGTTAGTGTGGCAGTGAATTTGTGGAGGACCTGTGCATTTCAGGGACTCTAGCGCACTGCTGCTGCTGCTGCTGCTGGAAACTCTGCCACCTGTTTGAGCTGTATCGCATTGTAAAGCTGGAGTCTTTGGACAAACTGTTAGTCTTCCCCCCTGCAAAACCAGATAAAACATGTTTTTATCGGCGCAAACTGCAGATGACTATCCATGCAAAATCAAACAAGCTGCACTCAATCCTTGGTGTGCAAATGTGGCTTTCCACTTCCCCCCCGATGAACTCAATTTATTTTTCGAATCACAGGCCACACCCTTGTCCCTGTACTTCTGCTATTCAGTGAAAAGAGCCCCTGAATGATCACCGCTGTCACACATTTTGGGACTCTTTGAGCTGCTGGACCAACTGAAGCCTCCGGTCTCGACTTTTTGACCCCCCCGCTGTCTTCACAAATGGCCCCTTCGCCCTTCCTGAACACATGTCACGGCCATCGCAGGGCCCGTTCTCACTGCAGCGGAAGTCGAGCTTGAAAATACAAACGCAGACCGACATTCAAACTCAACCCTCCGCCGTCTCCACCACCCTGGCACCTGCTGCCTCCCTCCCATCGCTCATCCCATCCCTGTCCACGCAACCCTGTTGAGGTTGGAGTTTAAAACTGGGAACAAGGGAGAAATAAACAAGTTACAAAGCAAAAACAAGTGTTCCTACCTTCACTCTGCAACGGCACACAAGAGGCAGCATAAAGTGATGACGCAAAAAAACCACTAAACTTCCCCTGTTAACTTCCTGAGTGTCTCTCCTTCTCTTGTGCTTTCTCTGTGCAATGCGGCTCAGTTTCTCCGCCTCTGTAGGGAAATCAGTTCATTGTATCTGCATGCTGCATCTATTTCCCTTTGTGAGCAACGTTTGCCTCTTTGTTGTCCAACTTCCATGTGGTTTACTCACTCAGGTGGGAAGAAGCGGACATGTTAATACGTATATGAAAAAAACACATTTCTATTTCTGTATTTGGAGTTTTTGTGGCCTCTTGATGAAATCTGTCATGTTTTAAATGTTTTATGTTTTCTGGACAGCATTTTGGTCCTTTTGGTAATTTAAGGTGCTTTCTAAATAAACCTGGATTGGATTGAATGGGATTATTATCTTTTATAATAGTATCATGTTATGCAAATAAACTGTGCAAAAATAAACACTGTTTGTGCCAAAGTACCACAGTTGGTCAAAGTCCCAATAAGAAGTAGCATAATAAACACAAGTGTGCTCAATAAAGGCTTCAAAACAGAAACAAACAATAAACCAGACAGAAACTGACAGTAATATAAATATAAGCAGATATTTTCGCCTATCATTGACATTATAATCATATTTAAATCAAAACAACCACGGTGGAGCAGCAGGTGTTACAATATTTTATTTTCTGTTCTCTTTTGATCGCTTGTTTTTTAAATCTTACTTTTTTGTATTAGAATCTTAGCTTACTTTTCTGTAATTTGATATTTGGATTAAAGTTTTAATGTCTGTCTTTAGGCTTCTCTCTTCATTTAGATTCATTCCTCCGTTCCCGTCAGCCTACCAGGTGTTGCCCATTTCCTGATTGCCTCACATGCAGCTCATGTTGTCATCCTGTAAGTGTTGCTCTCTGGTTTCATTGTTCTCTACTGGTTTCTCCATTATACTACTTTTCATGCTGGTCCACTGCTTCTCTGCTTCAGTTTTTATATTTTTTATTTCAGTTACTAACATTAAACTACACCAAACTCAGACTTAATGGGTTAGAAGGAAAGGTTGATGCAGAGTCAGGGACTAACTCCCCTAAATGAAGCTGCAAATCAGAATCATTAATTAACAAACGGTGACCTTACTTTAGGGGATACGTTGATTTATTAATGGTTAAGTAATGATTAACAACAGATCAATTTTATATTCTTACAGCTGCATGCCTATGAAGCTATTATTGTTTCTCACATATATCATTATATATTTATGAAGATATAATGATATAACCACAATATCAGTACAAACAAGTATTTTAATTTATCGTTTATATTTTCCTGACCTTTGCTCCCTTTTTTCATCTTTTCTTTATTTATATGTAAACCTTTTTATCATTACTATTATTATAGTTGTTTTTATCACCAAAGGTTCCACTGTCATGTTCCAGCAATACATTAACAAATACAATTTTTTGTCTTAGGCCTACAGACTAGACTAGAATAAAATAGAATAGAAATAATTTATTGCCCCAGAGTGGGGTAATTCATTTGTACCAGCAGTATAGAATAGAATAGAATAAAATAGAATAAGAAATTGTACAATTATTAAAATTAGTATCCTATAATACGCTATAATTCCAAAATGTGCAACTGAATAGGTTGTTTAAAAAAATGTACAAAGTATGCATGTATATTTGTGCATAAAAAACAAATGAGAACATATGTAAATATCATTAGGGATTTAAGTGCTTACTGACTTTGCTGGCAGCAGTTGTTAAGGCCTAACAGCTGGGAGGAAGGATCTATAATAAAGCCTCTTTGTGCACCCTGGATGCAGCAGTCTGTCACTGAAGGAGCTCTTTAGCTCACATACAGCTTCAGACCTCATCCAAAGTGATGTTTTATGGTAAATTATGACCTAATTGTTAGGTAGTGATGAACAAAGTTTGATGTGTGATTTCAGCCAACAGCCAAAAATAGGCTCATTAATACATAAACTAATTGTTACATTAAACATATTTTTATGTGTGACTTCACTTGAGGGCACCCAAAGTGATTTTTTAATGGTTAGGCAATGACGGAGTAGCGGTTAGCAACTCTAACGCGCAGTTTCACTTGACAGAAACACAAACACTGGCTTGGCAATCCGGAAATAAATAACTAAATAAAAGTGGAGAATCATCATTTTTGAGGAAAAAATTATAGGTTGATCACTTAAACATAGGGCTGGACAATAAACAAAAACAATATCGCAAGACAGTTGATCAGTACCACCAGAAAAAGGGTCTGATTGACTGTTCAATAATTTCATTGAACTCCAGTCCAGAGCCGCACAGCATTCTGGAGGATGTAGGCAGAGAAAAGGCTCTAGTCTTTCAAACTCTCACCAAGTCAGCTGAAAACAACTCACTCACTCACTCCTCTTTGGTTACCTAGCAACTCATTCTTCCTGGTTACCTAGCAACAACCTGATTAGTAACTTAGGCAGCAGCAGTTTAAGGTTTCACTAACCTGCCTCATAACTGCCTAAAAATATAAAAACAAAGTGGAGTGAAAACTGTGGACAAAATAGGAAAGGTCACATTGGCAGTATTTCAGATATTTACAAAAAATGAATCAATAATTATTGATATCGATCGATATGAAGCGTTTATATTATAAGTTTTCTGCCATATCGACCAACTCTATTTAAACTTTTGGTGACTTCAAATCGAAGAAAAACAACAGTGGAACTAATCCTAAATACTGAAAGGAAGGTAATTTATCAGTGGGAAAAAATGCATCAATTTCAAAGGGAGAATAAAGATTGAACTAAAGAAGGTCAAGTGTTGTGATCAGTCCAGATTTACCCTCTTCCAGAAAGATGGGCGCATCGGGGCAAGAAGAAGGGCAGAAGAAGTGACGCTCCCTTCATGCTTGTTTCTGGCTGTGCCGCTGATCCAGATGTTGAAAAAAAACAACAAAAATCACAGAAAATTTAGGGGAAATTTTGTTATTTGATCAGAAAAACAAAACATTTAAATCTGTATTCAACAAGTTTCAGGTATCACCACAGTTTTACACAAATATACAAAGAGTAAGACATTAAAGGTTTTCATAAATATCAAAGCTTTATCCTGTAAAACGACATTATCAGACTTGAATAGGAAAATAGCAAAGGAAGGTTCTAAACATCTGAGTTCCTGTGAAAGAGGCCAGATTTGGGCCTAAATAATACATTTTATAGATAATTCAGTTTGTAAAATGGTGTTTTTGCAAAAACACTTCAATGCTGAAAAACAAGGAACCTAAACACCTGAAAATCTCTTGCATTAGATCTGTTTTAGACACGTAGTAGATATGGGAACCAAAATATTAGCAGCTATATTATATTGAGACATTTACCAAAAACATTTGTAGCCATCATTTGAAGAGTTAAGAAGTAATTTGCAAATTTTCTGAATAATTTTGAAATGACGGGGAAAAAAATGCTCTTTATCCCAGAACCAAAATGTTTGAAAAATACATCCTTAGTGGAATCAACAATTAAGATTAAGCAACAATCATTATGCGTTATAAGTGAAAGTCACCACTTTGAGGGTTACAAGTTTAAGTAAAATTTGGATAATTTATCGGCTTAAATCCAGGCAACTGAAGCCACCATTACTGAATATTCAGCAAAATTGTAGAATATTTTACAAGCCAGATCTTTTAGCTATATTTTTATTTCATCCTGCAGATATTTAACCATGCTGTCGCTACTTTACCACAATAATTAGTTATAATAAATTGTGTTTTGGCTTAAATTCTGACAGCAGAACTTCATAAAATGGTGGTTTTGGGTGATTAAAAGAGAATATTGAATATTCAGCAGAATATTCAACTATGGAGCCTCAAAAGTGCCACAATCTCACAAGTAAATAATTGAATTATTTTTATAAGTGATAATTTTATTCCAAACAGTGCATGATAATAAAATATTAATTTGCCCTCTGACCTTTGCAATAAACCCAAACATGTGATTGCTTAACCCAACTGCTGACCAATCACCTTATCTATAGAAATATTAGCCCCGCCCCCTCATTTTCAACAGTAAGGCTAATAATCAGAAGGCGCTGCAGCTTTTTTCAATTTTTTGTATGATGTATTTACAGATGTAAATAAAGGCAGATCAATTCATTTCTAATATACATTTCCAAATGTATTTAAATGATCACTTTGTTCATCTATTAAATTGTGGCACTTTTTGACCCTTGATAGAAAGGAGTGAAGAAACTAAAGTTAAGAACAACAAGCTAAGACAAATAAATAAAAATTTTAAAAAAGAAAGAAAATTCACTTTTGCCCATTTTAGGCTGAAATTTAACATTTGCTGTGAGTTTTAATTTCTCAAAGGACCATCAGTGCAAGACCGTCTTCATCAGAAACAGGAAGGGTTTGTTTCTTTAACTTAGCAGAAGCATTTGTCTCAGAGCGAACACTGAAAATGATCAAAACAACTTTAAATTCACACACACTCAAACATAATACAAGGGATCATCAATATCCCACAAAGAAACAAAACCAAACAAAAAGTCTTAGAGGGAAAAAACAAATATCTACATCTTGAAATATTAAATATCAACAACTTTGTTTCAGAATATAATCTTTACAGAAAGCGTGTAGATAAAAGCCTCTTGTGCTAACCGGGTTGAAAAATAGTTATCTAGATCAAGTGGTTTATCTATTCAAAATGTGATACATTCACTTGACAGATTAGAGAAAACTGAGTGCTTTATTTTAATGATACAAGTTTCCAGTCTTATGTCTCCACCTCCCTGAATGTAGGAGTCTACAGTCCTGCTGAAATGTTCTGCTCTAGTCACACCAGGCAGCTTTCCGTTCCTCGGTCCGGATTCTCCTCCTCTCGTCCGCCGGAGCAGTCCATGGCCTCGGCGCTGTCCGTTTCGCTGCCGGTGAGCATCGGAGACCAGCTCTCCCCGCTCGTGTCCTCCGTCCTCGCCTCCACGTCGTCGTCGGCGCAGCCTCCTCTCTGCCTGCAGAAAGGCGGGATCTCCACCACCACGTACTTCCTCGCCCAGCCGCTCAGAACCGCTTTCTGCCGCATGTCGCTCAGGATCGGCGCCGCGTCGGACCTGGAATTCGTCGCTAAAGGGGAGAGAAAAATAAAGATTCATATCCGCAAAGATCTCTATTTTATTTTGCAAATAATTCCTGAAAACATCTTTTATGTTTTTCTTACAAATTTGTAATAATCTTGCTAAAAAAATATATATATATACTTCCATATATGCAGATATTGTTACTGTCAATCTATGTTATTTGGCTCCATGCTCCCAAAAACACAAATCATACAAAGTATGTTTGGTTTAGTATCTACTGCAAATATCTTAGTAGACTTGAAATAATGTAAAACTAACTAACTAACAAGTACCTTTTAAGAAAAATATAGGAGCTAATAATAGTTCCACTGGAAGATAAGACATTTCCCATGTTATAAGTGAAACAATCTGCCAATAAAACTAGTACTTTTGCTTCAGTATTAACCAATTATTGACTTAAAACCAGCTCCTGTATTAAAAAAATAAAAAATACATTTGGCAATATTTTGTTTTTGCAGCATATTATGGAGTCTAATAAGTGTTGAAAACATACATTGACAGAATATCTACATATTTGTAAATAATGATCATTTACACCTTTCCCATACACCTGAAACATTCATTAGGTTTACCTGGAAGCGTGACAGAGAGCAGAGTGGACGTACAGGTAACAGAACCGGCGTTATTGGATCCGACCGGGTCTGTGAGGTGGAACATCTCGGAGCGCGGCAGCTGCGGGGACACAGGTACGGAGTGGCACTGCCTGCCTGGCAGCTGCTGCCAGTAGAAGGACGTCTCCTGCTGGGACGCTCCGGGCCCGTGGGTCGGCGCCTGGTTGCTGAACACGCTTCCAGGCGGGGAGTGCAAATCAAACACCAACGAGAAGACGGACTTGCTGGGCACGTCGAAGAACTTGATCTTGCCCCCGCAGAGGTCCTCCCGGGCCGTGAACGGGTTGATCTTGCGGGTCCTGAGGTTCCTCTGAGAACTGGGCGGGTCGTAGTACGGGTCCTGGACGTTGATTTTCCTCCCCGGCTTGCAGGAGAAGATGTCCGACTGGCTGCGGCTGAGCCAGATGTTTCGTCTGGGCCGGGGCGATTTGGGAGGGATCTTATCGTTTTGGCAGCCAAGAGGATTCAGTCGTTTGAAGGCCTGGATTTTCTCACCTTCAGTACAGAAAACAGAGTTTCTACAACTGCTTTACATGCAAAATAAAGCAAAAAATATTACAAGAATCTTAAAAACAGAATCTTTATGTTTCTTAATTTGTAGATTTGGAAAATCCAAGGTGATTCCCACAAAGTCCCACAAACTTTAGTAACTGATTATTCTATTGATTATTCTGACAATTAATTGATTAATCTGGATAGAAAATTGCCACATTTTGCAGATTTTACATTTAACCACTTCAGCCTTTTTATATAATATTAAAAATGCATTAAAAGATGCAATAATTAAATTAATTTTTGAAAGAAGAAAATATTTTTTTTGCCTAAAATACAACATAGCATTACTTTACTCGGCCACTTGAGGAGGACATATTTATATAAAAAAACATTTTTCATTTTAAATGCTATATATGTATATATTTTTAAATAGTTTTGGCTTCTTTACTTCTCTGAGTATGTTGCTCTTCCAGCAAATGACCTACTATAATTCCTGCTAACGCTTAAGTTTTTACTAAATTAGTTAACGATTATTTCAATAACCGATTAATCACAACTAATCTGATTAATCGTTTCAGCCCAAGATTAGAACTTAGCATCCATTTTCATAAGGTAAACCTCCACTAAGTGCAAAATTACTGACCAGACTCCAGCAGCTAATGTTGCTCTGGCAGCATTTCATGTTTTGCCAGCCATTAATAACAACCACTCCAGATTGTTACAGCAACACTGTTTTGAGTGCAGCCACCATGTTTCTGAGAAACCCAGAGCTGGGTCACATCCGTCTAAAAATATTGACAATTTTAAAGTCTAAATATTGTTTTTCCACCAGCCTTCATCTTGCCAAATAAGTTGGAAAGCATCCAGCTCCCATCATAGTTTGGTTACTGCAATGACAAATTTAAACAGCCTCTTTTATTTTGAAAAAAAAAGAAAAAGAAGTGATTAAGAAGAATTGAGCTTGATTTCCTCTGTTGCACTGCAAGTTCACACAAACATAAACTTAACTTATCATTTAATAGATGATAAATTAAGTTTGTGCAAAGGTAAAAGACAATGGCAGAGAAGAAGTTAGTATGACCACTAGGTGGCAGCACAGGTATATTCTTTAAATGATTCTCCTGAGTTTACAGCAGTTTTCAAAGGTCCTGGATTGGATGACTATTCAGACATTTGGACAAGATTCACTAAATGTAATTCTCTGAGAAAAGGCTGATTCATAGTTGCAAGAGGTTTACAGAAACAGAGATCTTTGCTTCTGTAAATATATATTTTTTTCTGATCAAAGATGGAAAAAAAAGAATTTGACATCTTTAAAATAAAGCATCAACAAAAATATGTAACTTCACAACAACACGATTACAATCATGTCTGACAAAAACCATTTGGGACTTCTTATTATGAAACATAAATATATACAAGTACGAGAGATGGTGTGTTAAGAAGAACTGATGTTATCAGCCAAACCAACAGCTGCAAGAAGAGATCATCACTTCCATGTTTTGTACACAACAGGAATAATTCCTCTGTCCAAAGGCTCAGATTGTTTTTTTTTCCTCTATATTCTGATAATCAGGCAGGCCGGAAACCAAACATTAGGCTGAATTAGAGGAAACATGTTGGCCTGAACGGACTGGGTCTCATTTTAATAAACTCACCAGAGTTTCTCTTTAGATCAAGATGAGATACAAACCATACATATAAATAAATGACTTTAGTAGACAGTGATGCTGCAGTTTTATTTAAGTGCTCTTACTTTTTGACATGGCTTTCTTCTCATTGTCGCCGGTGAGTGAAGCGCTCTCGTTTTCCATCTCTACGACTTTGAGCCGAGCGAGGATCTCCTCCAGCTGCCGGACGATGTCTGCAAACGACGGACGGAGTTTGGGATCCATCTGAAGGGAACATGGAAGGCAGGAAACCGCATTTAAAACTATATTCAGATTTTTAAATACTAATTTAAAGCATCAATCAATCAATCAAATGTTATTTTTACAGCACCTTTCAGCGCTTTAAACCATAAAAACACAGTCAGAGAAAAGAGTCACCAGCTGAAGCATTACATTTTGCCGTCGTTACACATCAGATTGTTGATTATGTTTCAAAAACATAGTCCAGTTGTGTACAAGTCCAGTTTCAAAGAACACAGTTTCGGCAGTTTTGCAGTTTTCTGGCAGTTTGTTCCAGATTTGTGGTACATAGAACCTGAATGCTGCTTGTCCACGTTTGGTTCTGGTTCTGGGCAGACATGCATTTACAACAAAACATTAAACATAATCTATACATTTTTATTATTCTATGAAAATTTTAAAGTTTATGTAAGTAAGTTTTGAAGTCAATGACAACGCAGTTTGTTTCAGATAAAAAAATACTTACAATTTTGTAATTTTGAAGTCTGCATAACAACACTAGAGATTGCTTTGCAGCCACTTGTGTATATTTTCCTTTCAGAACAATATTTCTTGCACCAGGATCGTCTTGTTTCCAGCTCCATCCTTAAAGTTACCTTTAAGTTAGTTCTGTCTTTAAGTGTACCAATTAATTTGTACAATACTTTGTAAAATGTTTAGTTTTTGCAGTGTTCAGAGGAATTTTTATTTGATGGAAAAAGTAAAAAAAAGTTACATTTGCTCTTTTTGGACCCGAGTCTCCTTTCCCTCAGGTTTCTCTGCACCAGGTAATCTTATAAATAAGGTGAGTTCAGAGGGCAACAGGTTGCAGTTGTTTCTATTTAGGGATGTCCGATTTTTCAGATTTTTAAGAGTAAAAATATTTGAAATTCCTGTATGTCAAAAAAAGGGCAAGACGTGTGAAAACTTTCATTTTGATTCTTTGGATTTGGCAATTAACTTTCATCATTTTGGGTTTTTCCCCAGCCACAAATACTGAAAAGAGATCAATCAAAAGGAGAAGTTGCATTTCTATTGGCTTGTTCAGGGGAAAGACTCAAATTTTAAGCCAGATTTGAATAATCAGAAAGGGCAGGGATGTCCAAAGTGCAATTCGGGGACCATTTGTGGCCCTTGGGATGATTTTTATGCAGCCCTTATCCACAACTAAAGTCAGGGGTTGATGCAGATAAAGAAATGAGACATTTTAATATTGTGTTTAGTTTCTAAGTACACATAAAATAAAAAATAAAGTTTGCTGAGCCCCCTGATGCTTGCAGAGCGATACAATGCAGTTTACAGACTAGGTGGAATAAAGATTCAGCAACAGATTTGGAAAAAGGATAACAGAGACACAGATGATAAAAAGACAACAGAAAAGGATGAGAGCGGATAAAGGAGTCTGCATAGGCTCAATTAGCAGGGTGCTTCAAAAACTTTAATGCTATTATCTTATTATTAGGAGATGTAATTAAACAAAGAGCGGAAATAAACAACAAATGAGAAAAATAAGATTCACAACTTTGATGAAGTGATTGAAAATTTGCTCATTTTTACACCCAAATCTGTTCGAAGTTTTTATACCATAGTTGAACCTGAGAAAATAATATTCTAGACTGCAGAGAACAAAATCCTCAATACAGCAGATTAAATCAAATTAATCCCATAATCTCATTGCCCTGTATTTCTCAACAAGAGAATAAAACTAGCAGATGAAATTAAAAACAGTTTAGAAATGCCTCTTCTGTCAGCTGGTAAACAGAGAGCAGGTGCTGATTATATTCGCAGATTTGACGCAGAAAGATGGCGGACTCACATTGCAGCAGTTGAAGGCCAGCTGGAGGAAGTCAGGCGGACAGTCTCCAACCATATGCTGGAACGTGTGGTAGTCCAGGCCGAAATTCTGCTCAGGAGGACACATCGGAAAACAAAGAGGAAACTCATTATAAAGGAGAGATAAACATGGATACAAACATGCTTCATTAGATACTTGACATAGTGCAACTCTGCAGCCAAGGCTAGGCTGATGTCACAGTAATCCCCCTGACATTGTCCTGCTGTCTGCCAAGTCCCACTGTGCTTGCAGGCCATCAAACCATTACCAACAACTGATTCCTACAATGGGATTTACTTGTAAGCCTGACTTAATGGTGCAATCTACGCTAGGATGCAAAGGATGATCCCCTCTAGTAGTTAATATACCGACTAGATTTCAGCATTAAACAAGATAAATTAGAGGAAAAGGCTATAAAAACAACATATCTTTCACATTTTGCAGAAAATGAATTTTAAATAACCTGTAGCTTTTTCTTCTTAAGTTTTAAATCATCCTGATTAACTAGTGAATTATGAATCAAATGAAGCAGATAAATCTTGATTTTTATTCATGCTCTAATGGGCAGTTAAAATTTACAGCAAGTCACAAGAAAAAACAACAATACACCAACAATTAATATTTAATTAGAGGGTGTGGCACTGAATTACACTGCTTCAATAAATGAACGTAAAAAAACAAAAAACAAAACTTGTTGGTCAAAAACCTATAAAGTGCTGGAAGGACTAAAGTGAGCAATAAACCAGTCAGTAAATAGATAATAATAGAAATTTGAAATTCCTTTAAGAGGCAACACAGAATTGAAACTCAGTGGTTAAAAATACAAACTGCTTGTGTTGGAATACATCAATTTTTAAACTAGATCTTTTAGCATCTTTCATGCATTTTTGTGCATCTAACAATTTTTTTATGTGATAAAATTGTAAAGAAATTATCCAACCTTTGTAAAACATCAAATCCTTTCAGGTCTATTATGTATAGATATTATTTATGATGTTCCCCCCATTCTGCATAGTGTGTGTATATTAAAAACTGAGGAAATGAAGGAAAAAGCAGAGCATTTCTACATTGTTTGAAGAATTATTAATGAAGACTCCATTTAAAGATTAGAAATTACCCCGGGAGGCAAAATATCAAGAAACAAGGAGTGTCTTCTGACCTTTGCACAAGTCTATAAATTGTCATTTTCAAGTTCTACCTTCAGAAACAAATATTTGCCTCATACCATGAGGTTGGATTATAAAACTGCAGAAGTAAATATTTTAACATTCTTCCCCTGATTTGTTTGAGAAGTATACACTGCAAACATGTACACAGGGTGTTATAAAGTCAGGAGGTAGAGAGGAGGTGAAGAGTCGTTACCTCAGTGCGGGGAAGGAAGTCGGGGTCGGCTTGGATCCGTGCAATAACTTCACAAAGGATTATTCCGTAGGAGAAAACATCAGCCTGGAAGCAGACATAATGAGCTCAGAAATATATACATTTATACATAATATTCACTCATTTAATGCAACCTTTATATAGCTATAGTTATGGTGAGAAGTTCACACACACTCAGCGTGGAGATAATGTAGTAGTAATTTGAACTTTTAAAGGGGTGGTTTTATGTATTATGTGCTATTTTATAGCACAGTCAAGTAACTCTGCTACCTTCAGTTGTTATAGAAATGCTATATATCAAATATAATGTAAAATAAATTTGACTTTGCAATTTATTGCCTTGAAACTGGGCCTCTGTCTCTTTAAGAAGCTTCTAGTCTTTCAGATACTCCATCTTTAGCACATAATCACAACATTTCTCCATTATGCCATATACAACTGTTCTTAGGAGCCTCAGACTGAGAAGTAGCTCATATAACGAGCTCAGGAGGTTAGCAAGTGTTTGTTAATTTCTGCTGCCACTAGTCTGGAGGAGCAAGTTTTCAGATACCCCTGAATGGCTGCAATCAGAGATTCAAAGACTCCTCAAACATCCATGAAAGAATCAAAGCATGTTTTTGGTGAAGTAGTAACAGAATAATATGATGTCCAGCTAAACATTTTGCATAACAAGTCTGTTATGATAGGATTTCTGATTGTTTTTGAATGTGTGGTGGCTCATTTGGGTTTGACTTTCTTTCTGGAAAAAAAGCTCCGCACAATAAAGCTAACATTCAAGCCATGTAGTTTGCAGTAGTGTAGTGTCATATGCAGATATTCGCTGTAAACTCACTTTAAAATCTCTTAGTGTGGTTGCCAGTTGGGCTTTTCTGGCCTCATTTTCATAAAGCTGGTTGAGTGTTTCTTTTTCAATATCTGGCAACACTGGTAACAGCCCGCTTTAATGAGTTCCTTGGATTTAGCAGCATTTTTGGGTACACTATGCACATTTTTGTAGTGCTTACCTACAGTCAACCATGTTCAAAGTCAATAGGTTTCACATTCAATATCTTCATAATCACTTTTTATGTATATAATGTACATTTCACAATAAATCCAAATGTGTGCATCCGATTCTTGCTTTTTGAAAGCTCTGATATTGCCGACATATGTATTATTTATGCTCATGATGAGTGCATGTTTCGCGCTGCTTGTAGCTGTGATGTCATGACAGAAGTGCATTTGCACTAATTGGATGCAAAAGGCAATTTCTGTCCGACTTAAACTGATCTGAATCTGTAAACCTTCTTTGAACTAATAGAGATTTTACCTTCTCATTATAGTGTTCATCTCTGAGCACCTCAGGAGCCATCCAGAAAGGAGAGCCGACCACTGCAAGCTTTTCTCCATCAGCCCTAAACAGAACATATGAGCAGAAAGAAAAGCTTAATGTCTGCATCATTAGACTGATGTGTGAAGTAAACTGGCACAGAACGCGAGTCCAAAAGGAACTGGATGTTCTGCTGCGTTTGGAAGCTGCTCTGTGTGAATATGGCAACCAGTTTATGTTTAAAACAACCCACAGATGTATCTAATAAGTCCCATTTGCTCCATTTAGATTTAAACTGAATTTAGTTTAGATGCATAATGTTCAGCCTGGAGGTTAAATAACATCTATATCTATTATCTAATTACAGATTTTCTTTTTCAAACTTAAAAGTTTTAGGCTCAGATCAAGGTTAACCTAAACATAAAAAGCAGTTGGTAATAATTATATGCATTAAGGGAAAGCAGCCATCCAAACCAATCAGAAAAAGTAACTAACATTAAAACATGGTTGCTCCAACCTTGGCAGCAACAATTATTAGCAGAAAATGTCAGCGAGTTTATTACATCTTATTGAGGAAATTTGGCCCACTCTTTGCAGTATTGTTTTACTTTAGCCACACTGCAGCCATTTTGAGCACGAAAACTCTGTTAAAGATCAAACCACATCATCTCAATTAAATTTGAGTTCATACTTTGACTAGCCACTCAAAAACCTCCATTTGTTGCATTTGTTTCTTGTTTTTGCCATTTATAGAGAGTCTGGCAGCCTGCTTTGGACCTTTTTCCTCAGGTTTATCTGCTAAAAAGCAGATTTTATGGCTCCATAGATTATGGCAAGTCATCCAGGTCTCAGACCATTACTCTACTGTTTGGCTGTCAGTATGATGTTTATTTATTTATTTATGTTCTGAGAGGCTGTGACAGTTTTACCCCAGCCAGGTGTAACAAGATACCTTCCTTCTAAAAAGCTCCACAATATTTTTTTTTTTAACCAAAGTTCACCAGTTCCATGTTTTTACCAACTGTGGATAATTGCCTTGATTAGTAGCAAGTGAGACATTGATCAGCATATCTGATGTGTATTTGCTGGATGATTTTGCTCATAAAATTTGATATTTATTGAATGATATTTTTATGATGTAAAGGCTTTTTGAACTGCATGCTGGAACTCTGCTTGGGTTGCTAGGTGACTTCAATGGGGTTGCTAGGTAACAGGTTGGTTGCTAGGGAACAGGTGAGGGACAGTGCCTGCTGATGTGACGTTATGTTTCACAAGTTTTTGAAATTGGCCATTTTCCAGACACCAAAACAATCTTAATTTATAGAAGAAAAAAAACAGCTGGGTGGTTGTTTTTTTTTTTAATAGCTCAGCTGTTTTTAGAAGCAATAGAAATCCAAAACCAAACCCGAAGTAAAAACATGAAAAATGTAAATTTTACTATATATGTGCCCGCTAATATCCAAATGTAATGGTAAACCAGCTGACCAAACGTGCTGGAACTCTGCTGAGGTTGCTAGGTGACGGTGCTGGCCCTGGCTGGGGTTGCTAGGCAACGGCACAGTGCCACTGAATGTGACTCACCAATCAGGAGGTTCTTGAAACGACTTACAGACAGCAAAAAAAAACAAACAAAAAAAACATCTGGGTGATTTTTTAAGTACATGGATTATTATAAGAAGCAGCTGAGACCCAAATGGAAACATCAAACATGCAAAAAGTGAATTTTACATAACAGGTCCGGTTGGTTTGGATAGTTTTTTCCTCCCCAAAAACAGACTGAAGTCACTCTGAAGTCAGTCTAAAATAAGACTGAAGTCAGTCTGTTTTGTATTTACTTAAGTTATTTTTGTCCGACAACAAAAACATAACATTTCGTTTGATTATTTGAAACATTTCAGAGAGCCTTTTCACAGCACAGTAAACAACCAAACTCTGTGTGGTCACATTCATAAACCTTTGGAAAAGATCAGAGGAATTATTTTGGACATTTTGGAGAACAGAAAGCAGACTCCCTGCTTCTTTTTGGCTACTGCACGATTAGAAAGTGAAAACCCCAGACTGACAGGATCCTCCTCCTGCTATCAAAACACCGAGGCAGAGAATGTGAGCTGTAGAGGCGGCTTTTAGTGACCTGTGTGCTAATAAATAACCCCAGTATGAAGAGGAGGAGGAGGAAGAGGGGGAGTAACTAAGCTGAGTTTGCTGTAGGAATGAAGAGCTGACACCAACAAAAAGATGATTAAAGAAATAAAATTCTTATTACGCAACATGTTTTCCCTGAGTGTAACCATAATATTATAAAGAGAACTGATATTAAACCAGAAGATGGGAGATAAAGAAAAGAATGAGCCTTACTAGTTTGAAGGCCAACATAAATTAGACGCATTAGGGAGATAAAACTGAACTGGCCTTCAGTTTGAGTCACTTAAATATGATTTCTCTTCTGAAAATTATCCCTCATAATGAGACGAGTAGAAAACAGCCAGCATGTTTCAGTTTATTTCATCTTCTAATTTTTTTCCTTTTCCTGCAAACTCCCCCTGGCATTTCTAGATTCACTCTGACGCTTCTTACTGTTTGGTGGGAATCTTCTCTGCCAGGCCGAAATCTCCCACCACCGCCGTGTAACCATTGTCATCGCATTTGATCAAGCAGTTCTGTGAAGACAGACACCCCCAAAAGCACAGAATGTTACTTGGGGAAGTTGCGACACAGACGGATTAAACAACAATTTATGGTTTATTACCCAGACCTTTGCTTCCTATTTAGAGTAGTTGTAAGAAAACTGTGCATTACAAGTTTAGCCACTTCCTTCCTCTTCAGCTTACTGTAAAGTGTTCAAACTCTCACTGGAACCAGCAGAGCAGCATGTGAATGAAAGACACCTGCAAACCGTGAGAAACTATCATGACACCTAATTAACTGAGCTGCATATTAATGTTCACAGTTTATTTATGATACATGAAGCTAATGCACAACTTAAATCTCGCAACGCTTTTCTTCCTAAACTCCGTAATTTGCAACGGTCGAGTACAGTTAGCTTCTCTGAAAACAACAGCATAATTTCCACATGCTCACTGGGGAAGTTAAAAGTTAAATTACTACCTCTGAAGAGAAACAACTTAACCGTAAACAACTTACAAGAGAACATACCCGATGTCCTTTAATGCCAAAAGTGTCTGGGTTGGTTTAAAAAACTATGTAGTAATGCAGCCATTGTTGTTTACAGGGAGATAAGCTGCTCTAAAAAATTATTTAATAGAAGAAAACAATGCAACATACTGTATGAAATGGTTATGTCATTACTGACAGGGCAAACAGAAAAACTTTATTGCCATTTCTGGATTTTATGAAGGAAGACTGTGAATTTCTTTTTATAGTGTTGCTTTAATCAAATGACGTTTGTAGGATTTATGTGCACCAGACCCATTATATAGGCTATTTTGTTCTCCAAATATAAAATAACTCAATTTAATTTGTTCCACCATATTTTCCTCTGGAAAGTTGCACACATTCTTTCTAAAACCTAAATCTTGGTTCTTTAATTTTACAATGTTATATTGCATAGATTAGCAGATCTAGACAAGTTTTATTTTGTAGGAATAGTATGCAAAAATAGAAAAAAAATTGCTGATCCCTGGCTTAATGTTTAACTAATTCATATCCTTATAGGGCTTTTTTTTTTTTAAAGGAAGTTTGTTTTCCTCCCCATAGTCAAATGTGTGTTTTTCAACATTCCTGCCAACAAACACCTAATGAACCTTCAGTTTTACAGTTGGTTATCATTTCCTGTTGGAGCTCCAACAAATGTGTGTTGGTGCACATTTTCTGAGTCAAATGACTAGCAGGGCTAACTGGCTGTACAGTTGTTGGCACCGATGGCTTTTAGCAAGAATGTCCACACTGCAAAAACACAAAACCTTACCAAGTACTTTTTGTCCAGTACACTTTAAAAAAGATAAGACAACTTTTCAGCAAGATACTGGAGCTCAATTTAAGTCAGTAATTCCTTAATGTTGACAACTAGATCATTTCACTTTTAACATGGGAAAAATGTCTTGTTATAAGTGAGATAATCTTCCTCCAATTAGCCTCAGCTAACCTTGGAGGTGAGGTCCCGGTGGAATATGCCTTTGGAGTGCAGGTAGGCCACACCGCTGGCGATATCACAGCCCAGTTTCACTCTGGCGGGCCAACTCAGGTGCTTGTTGCTGTCTAGAAGTTGCTCCAGGTTTCCTCCGTTGATGTACTAAAGAAAGAGGGAAAACATTTCAAACATGTGAACAAATAGAATATACAGAACTGTATAAGTGGTAAAAAAATAACTTATGTCACGGTGTCCCAAAGATTTTGTTCACAGCACAACTATAATATTTGAGTTGAGATTTTTGTCTTCAAAATTCTGATCAATGGCAAAAACACAAAGTGTGGACCGAAAGAAAGTGTAGGTAGAAGCGCAAGCTTATTATACTCTCACATTATTATACACAAAGCCTCATCAAAAACAAAGCAGCAGGATCTTTCAGTATATGTTTTTAACAAGCTGAGGTGTTCCAGCTAAATCAGTAGACGCACTCAAGAAAACCATAAAACTTTTTTTTTTTTTATAAAATGATTTTTATACATTTTGTTTTTAATTTAAGAGTGAAAAGCACCGTTATGTTTGGGTTTTGAACAATAAACTTAGCAGTTATATGCATTTTCAAAGCAGGTCTCAAATATTTGCAGATTTTAGATATT